ACCAATCATTATCTTCTTTTATGCGCCATGTCCCTACAGGATGTAGGCAATCATGGCTCTCAACAATTTCCTGTCTGTTGTAGTGATTAATAAATTTTGTCATTTTGTCATCTGTTCTACACCTTGCTCTAACATCTATTTACACACGCTTGCTAGGTAGGTTATTCATTGTTTTCCTTTTCCCCTCTTCAATCAGTCCTGTAAGTATCAAATTTTCCAAGCCCTCTTTCCTCAATATGTACCCTAGAAATTTCAGTTACCTCTTCCTGATATTAAGTATAAGTGGTCTTTCTTTTTTCATTTTGTTATTCAGTGCTAATAGGAATATATACTTGAAAAACAAGGTGGATAAAATAAGTAAAGGTTTATTGTAAAAAACCAGTACAATAAGAATAAAGGTAACAGTTATGCACAAGGTCATTGCAAATCAATCCAGTAGTGAGTGCTACTATTGGAAGGTCGGTAGTTCTCATGTAAGTCTGAGTCATACTCAACAGATCTCAGCTAGTCTCTGTAGTCTGTTGACTTACAGATACTTATAGTTAGTTACTACCTATAGTGTAGTCACTCATGGGGTTGACAGGTTATTCCATTACATCACATTTTTTATAAAACTTCATAATTGCTCACATGTTCCATCCATGGTATTCTCAGCATCCTTCTGTAGAACCACATTTCTGTTGCTTGAAGTCTCGTCTTCATCAGTAAGGAGATTGTCCAGCATTCACTGCCATAATGGAGGGTGATATTATATAATAGTTCAGCACTTTTTCTTTTTTACTAACAAAATTTTTCTGCTTTTTAATACTTTTCTTAGCTTTTAGAAGGCATCTTTTGTTCTCATAATGCACCTTCAGATTTAAATGCATTTCTGTGCTCAGTTAGAGCACTTCCTAGATATTTAAATTTTTGTACTTGATTTTGATATCTCTAATTCATTGTTCACATCTTGGATTGTTCCTTTTGCTGACAATCATACATTATATTTTCTTACAATTGATAGTACTTTCTTCAGGCTTTCCTTTACTACCTTCTGTAGGAGTGCCTTTAGTTTACTTTCTGTGTCTGCTATCAACACTGTACCATCTGCATATCTAAAGTTAAGACTGTGGTTGCCAATAATGAATCCTGGTAAAACTTCTAATTCTTTCAGTATCATCACACTGTAAAAGTTGAATAAGTCCAGTTAGAAGACACATCCTTGTCCCATGCCCCTTTCTATTTCTATGTATTTAATGAGTTCATTTTCTATCCATATGAAGGTAGTTTGTTTCTACTATAAGTTCTAGATTATTCTAATATCCTTTCCAAATAAATGAAGCCTAAAAATTGTAGATCCCAAGGAAAAGGTGGCATATGATAAAAGCAAGTGAAAAAGGATGATGTACAGTGGATACCATTGCTTCTATTGAAAATACCTGGGCTAAAACAAAGAGAGCAGTTTGTCTGTCAAGAGTAGACCTAAACATTCATTAGCATAGACCATTTAATCAACTATGAATCATTTGAAATGTGAGGAGTGTAAAAATGTCTTCAAAAGTTGATCTGGTCTACATCAGATCCCTGAATAGGAAGAAATCTACAAAGAAATAACACAGCCAAAAGATCTTGCTTGCTATGTCTGTGGAAAAGTACCAAAATAAATTGCTGGTTTCAAAAGTCACTGCCAGTGTTATGAATAAGAATACTAAATTACATCAAAAAAGTAGTATTGGTAATGCTCATTTAATTAGTATCCAGCCATCATGTATATTTGAATGTTGCTCTCAAGAGTCATCTTCACAGCCATGAATACTGAAACAAGATGGAAGCCATCACAAGTGATGTGATAGATGAGTGGGTGGCTCTCAACTGTGTAAGATGTGATATTCACCAATCACCATGTATATGTTCTTCTGACAAGAGGCTGCAATCATCACACACACACACACACACACACATATATACACATATATATATATATATATATATATATATATATATGGGATTAATATAAAATTTGTCACTTAATTGATTGATGCTATATTCAGCACCTCTACTTCAAGATTTCATAGACATAAACCCTTTGGTAATCATTCAGTCCACTTTTCATGAGTTATCAGCAATTGTCTGCGATTTTGTCATTTTCATTATTTTTATATTAATAGATCACAACAGTTATTAGGCAGATGTAAATATACTTTAATGTTTAAAAAAGAGATCCTGATTCAGTAGGAAAAATAAACATGGCTTATTAACTGATAGGAGTTATCTTCCTTTGCATGTATAGCCCTATAAGAATGATCAACTCTCTTGGATCGATAGATCTTGACAGCTATTAGGGAGATGTGATTAAATATACTTTAATGTTTAAAAGAAATTTATTCAGTATTATTATTGTTTAGGTAATAAGCATTAGCACAAATATCTATATTGTGGAAAAAGGAATTTGGGGCAATATATGCTTTTTTATGTGTTTATGGTTATTTTTAACTTTTATTAAAAACAACATTCTTGTACATATAGTTATGGATAATATTATACATTAATTACTAATTTTTTTTAATTAATAACTATTTGTGCTCAGTTGTTGACATTAATTGCTATCTGCTGATGTGTTAAAACTTTGGAATCATGCAATAATAGAAATGTAAATTTCATTTCTCTGATAAATGTTGCAATCTACAAGTTAAAGAAAATAATTTTTATTGGTGTTAGGCTGATTTTTTTTCTTCTACTTTGTACTGTACATGTATGGTACACTACAGACGTACACGGTGTACATATATACGTATACATTGTTGTGGTTATTTCTTCTTTTCATTATTTTCTTGTCTCATCTTTCATCTTTGAATATCAAAAACAATGTAACAATGCTATTTCCAGGGTCATAGATAGGACTTATAATTAGGTTAATTATTCTGGAATATTCTGGGGTTTGATAATTTTTTTTTTTTTTTTTTTTTCAAATATAGGTGTATTCTGCTTTTTATTTATTTATTGTTGAAATAATTGTTGTTTTTTTATTTTTTTAATTATATTTACATTTAACTGTAGTGGGTTGGTATCAGAAGGAAGATGCTAATGTTGTTGGACCACAATAAATAGCACAAAAACTTAGTTGGAAAATTAAGGGTCAATTTTTATTGACACACGTGTGTAGTAAACTTGGCAGTAAGAGAGTGGTCAACCCCAAATCAACATAACATTGAGAGAGGATGACTGAATCTCCTTTCCTTAGGACCATTGCAAAACATGTTCAAAATCCAATGATTCAAAAATATCCAGACTCAATCTTTTTTCCAGAAGTGGGTGAGGGGTCACAAACTTTGCATGGGACCAGAAACCCTTTTTCTTTTTTCTTTTTTTTGGTTTCAATTTGCATTATGGGAAAATGAAATTATTTATTTTTTTAATTGTTATGTTTATTATTTATTTTATTATTATTTAATTTTCATTCTTCCACACAACTGAGAAAACTATGTTTTATAGATATCCCAGAATTAATCTGATAAATGACTTTTACTTTAGTCTACACTTTCTTTACTTAATATCTTTCTATATACATTGCATAAAACCAGCATTATAGTTGCCATTAATGAGATTTAAGCATACAACTGGGCTATTCATATGTTTAGATTATTTTTCACACATAATGAGGGATTTTTAATATTGGAGACAAATGAAGAAATTGTTTGAAAGGCCAGTGTTTGTTCATGCACTTGATCAAATCATTTAGTAAAAGTGAAATAAAAAAGATCTTAAACAAATAAAAAAAAGCATCAAGCATTAATTTCTTTTTCTAGATTTATTTCAAAGAATTGAAAACTTTTTTTCTTTTACTACAATATTTTCCTAGTCTTAATTAACCCCTGTCAAGGTTGACAGCAGTAGTAACAGTTTTTTCTTCATACTAACTAGTAGTTATGGATGTGATTTGCCTTAGTGCTCACTCACCCACTTCTTTCCTTCTTCACATTTGTAACATGCCAGTGACAATGCCTTTTGTCAAGATATCTGCTTAAGGTGAAAAGTGTAGAGAGAAACGGATTTATGCCTTCTCCAAGGGAATTGATGACAGACTGTCAAAATCTGAAGTCAACTAATTTTTTCCTCTGCTAACAAAACATTTTGCTACCATTTTACTAGAAACTACTTCCTCGGTTAAAATCATAAGAATACACGACAGAAAAATATCTTTTATTTTTGCTTAAAAATTATGACTTCTAGCAAATTTTTTCCACTACCACCCTAAGCAATTGAAATATTGAAATGAATTGCATGCTTTTTTCATCTGCAATTAAATAATTTATTATTTTGTCAAAAAAGTTACTTAGAAGATATATATTATATTTTCTGTTTTCTTTTTGAATTTGTAGGTCTGATGAATTGAATCGTGATTATGATTCCAATGTAATAAATTATAACCATGGAATATTAGTGTTTGAGTCTTTTATATTATATTCTTTCTCTGTCTTGTACATAGAGCTCTACCTGGATTTTATCCTCTTGAAATATATATATATATATATATATATATATATATATATATATGTAAAACAAAGTATAATATTTTATGTATAATATATATATAAAATGTATAATATTTTATGTATAATATATATGTAATATTTTATGTATAATATATATATAATATTTTATGTATAATATATATGTAAAACAAAGTATAATATTTTTTCTCAATAAATCCACATTACAACCAAAAACGTTTGCGGCACCCCTCTTCTTTTTAATATATATATATATATATATATACACATAGAGAGATATTAAAACTGACTGAAAAAGATGTGAACAGTTTGAGATAGATTATATGAAGATAGATTGATGTATCTTGAATAAAAATTCAACTACATATATATTTTTTGTTTTTTTATTGTCTTTTTTTGTGATCTTGTTTATACAATGTGTTTTTGGTTGGTTGATTGATTTTAAATGATAACTGACATGATTGATACTTGATTAATCTCATTGTATTGTTTTCTTTTCGCTCTCCCCAGGGGGCAAGGCCTATGGAATGCTCAAAGACAAACAGGATACCCATTTATCAAGAATCAATCAGGTTGGTCTCACTATCCTTCCCACCTCTCTTTCTGTTCACCCACTTCCACAACTCGAATGTTTCACATCTCAGTTATGTCTTGAATATTTGCTTGTGTCCCCCCCCCTACACACACACTCTGCCAACTTCAGAATATTTCTGTCCGAATCATTTCTTCTGAAGTCTATTCTCTGCTTTGTATTGTGAGAATCTCTTCTGCCTTGTTGGACATTTATTGCCGATACGTTTTTCAATCTTCATCCTTACCCTTCTCAATGACTCTTCTCGCATCAAGTGTTTGTCTCTGAAGAATATTTGTCTGTAGAGAATGTTCCACCTGGTCTTGCTGCAAAGTCGAATTTGTATTGATTATTTGCTAGGCCAATGTGTTCAGCCTCCTTAGACGGCCATTTTGTGCTAAACACCATCTGTGGCTGGGAAGAACATAATGATGAATTCAAAAGCTAAAAATGACTGAAAAAAAAAATAGGAATTTGAACATTGTTTCTTTTCAAAAAACGTATTTATTTTTTAGTAAATCCTCATTATTTTTAACCATTAAAAATATATATTTATGCATATTCTATCAGTAATGATTGCATGAATTCCTGACCAAAGACAATCCCTTTCTTTTACATTTAAAAAGAATTTCTATAGGAAAACAATTAACAAAGCATTTCCATTATATAGATAGGTCTTATTCAATCAATAATACTTCCTAACTTCTGACAACTTCATTTTTCATGATTTTTACTGCATTTCTGTAATAAAACCATTAGTAATATATTCACATTATGCATATAATAACCCTATTCAACTGTAATTCCTGACCACTGATAATCCCTTTTCTTCTCAGTTTTCAATGCACAATATGTCTGTGTTAAACTATTACCACCATCGCCATATTTATTACAACGTTTCAGTCATTGTACACTCCGCCCTTCTTCAGGTGGTTGGAATGTCGAACTGAACCCTTTATTTCCCTCACTGGGATAGACTGTTCTAGTTCCACGTGCCATGTTTAATGGATGTCAGTTATCAGTTTATCTCCTGTTAATTTCCCTTTCCAAGTTCTCCACTGCCTTAACTGGGTATTAGACTCACACTCTTTGGGTCCTGTCACTGGATCTAACTAATGCCTTTATCCATTGTGCCATGTGTCCTTGAGGACAGAGAATAGACTTGTACAGAGTGAGCAACATTGCAAAAAAAATGTCTATATGATTATATTCATTACATAATATCTTACAATTTTGTTCCACTTCAGTGTTTGCTCCCCCTCTCCTAGAGAAGGGATGTAAGTAAATGTTCCACTTGCTCCAATTGATGTTGATTTTTTAAACTATTTACATTATTTGGACTGTTGTCCTCATCTTTGTCACCATGTTTATCACAACATTTCGGCTGTTGTACACTCCAGCCTTCTTCAGGTGGTTGGAATGTCAAACTAAAACCCTTTATTTCACTCACTGGCGTAGGCTGTTCTAGTTCCACGTGCCATGACTAATGGATGTCTAATGGATGTCAGTTATCTCCTGTTAATTCCCCTCTCAAAGTTCTCCACTGCCTTAACCAGGTATTGAACTCACACTCTCTGGGTTCTGTCACTGGATCTAACTAATGCCTTTATCCATTGTGCCATGTGTCCTGAAGAATGCCGGAGTGTACAGCAGCCAAAATGTTGTGATAAATATGGCAAGAAAGATGAGGACAATAGTCTGAATAATGTAAATAGTGTACATAATACCTCATCTTAGAAATATAGACAGATAATGCAGAATCTTATTTGGAGCAATACGCAAAACAAATCCTTACCGAGAGCAAAAGTTTGCAGCATATACAAATTGTGATGACAACAAGGCTAACTTTGAGAGAATGGTGACATTTTTAGAGTTTTCTTTAAACAGAATCAAGCTGCTGCTCAACATTGCAACATTAGAGTGCTAACATCTCTACTGCCACAAGAGTTCGTTCTTAATAGAAATAGTAACTCAAGGTGAAACTGAATAAGATCCTATTTTTAACCAGTTGAATGCACATTTTTCCAATTTCCAACCTTGAAAACTTAATAAATTTGATATTTTACAAAAGAAAAATTGATTGGAAAAGCATTAGAATTAATTCTTCTCAGCATTTTCTATTTTGAGAGAAATAAAAGAACAATCAAATTTGTTACTCTTTCAACTTTCTATTTCAGCTGCTTATGCCATCATTTATAAAGGATGACGATTCATTTTATGCATTAGTTTCCTAAGTTTATTATCAGATCAGGCTTAGGCTGGCTATGGGTAACATGTAACCAAGTATAATCTGCCACATAAGTGGTTGTCATCTAAACCAGCAACCACCTCCCTACCCAACAGGTTTTCTACAGGTGAGGAAGATGGCAGAAGAAAAAAAAAGACCTGTTAAAAAGTGGATGAACTTCTTATAGAATCCAACACCAAACATATATATAATGTTAATAAATATAAGTGGACATTGAAGTCAACACTCAGAGATGACAGTTTGTTTCATGTCATTGCCAGCCGATTGTCACCTCTGGGAGTTAACTTTAATGTCAACTTTTATATTTATATTGATATTGAGCACTTTAATCCATAAGTATAGCATACCTTAAAACTGTATTTTATCATACATACATACATACATACATACATTTATTTATATATATATATATATATATATATATATATATATATATAATATTTAAAAGAAAAACAGACCACTTTAAGGTACCATTATAATAATTTATTTCACCAGAGCCCTTTTAAAGGACACCGGATCATCAGATAGCACTTCCAAAAATGAAATGAAACAAAAAAAATGAAATTAAAATTGATGGGTAGTGTAAGTTTTTGTAATTTAACAGAGAGTGTAAAAGGGGTAGTTATATAACAAAGTGGAAAAGTTTTCTTGTGACACGTTTTATCCTTTGAATCTCCTGCAACTCTTGCAATTCCTTTCATCTTTCTTAAACAGTTTCCTTGTTTAAGTCGGTGAATGCTACCATAAACCTTGCCTTCAGTTCATCTTTGGTGTTACAAGGACTTTTGTTGGTCTCTCACTCAACTGTACTCCACACATAATCAAGGGGTTTGCAGTTTGGGGAGTAGGGGGTCAGATGTAAGGGGTAATGTAGTCACAGAAATTGTCTGACAGCCATGACTCTGTTCTCCTGCTTGTGTGGCATGATGCAGAGTCCTGTTGCGAGACATAGGGTCTTCCAGCAGCCACCCTCTTGGCCCAGGGCAACACTACCTCCTCAAGCCACTTGATGTAGGTCTCTGTTAATTCTGAGGCCCATACCAACAAATTCGACAGTTTTTTTCTTATCAGAACGATCAGAGTGAGTTTTCCAAGCTGCTGTATGTTTGTAATCACCATTAGACTCCTTGAACTCTTTCCGAATCCTCTGCACTGTCTTCAGATTGACACCTAAACACTCTGAAATGTTTGTATTGGAACTTCCAGTGGGAATACTGTTTCCAAATTTCTAGCAGAGTGAATTGTATCATGGTTCTCTTTTTCTCACAGATAGTGCCCAACTGACCCTACCTATACTGTGCAGTCGACAAAATCAAAAACAAATAAGGCGCATGCACATAATTAAAAGTATAAAATGGTGATAATTTGCTCTTTGACCCCTGTGTGTGTGTGTGTGTATATATATATATATATATATATATATATTTTATTGCTATACATTATTTATATAGACACATATTTAAGTAAATGCTCTATTTATAATAAACAGTATTAATAACATTTGCTGGCCTGAATGTCTGAGAAATCTCATAGAATATATGCATCATCCGACAGGAATCAAACCTGTATCCTACATGGAACCACCATATAGCCTGACATGCTATACCATTTAGCTACAGAGGAAGTATCTGGTTCAAATTACTGCTTTTAGACCACAAATTTCCCATGATTTCCCAGGAATGTTCATATCAGCTCAAAGTGTATCTTAACGTAAAGAAAAGCAGTAAATCGACCTTGCTAACCAGACACTTCGTTTGTAGCTAAACTGGTATAGCACATCAGGCTATATGACAGTTCTGTGTAGGATGCCAGTTTGATTCTTGTCGGAGGACACATATTTTCTATGTGATTTCTCAAACATTCAGGCTGGTAAATGTTGTTAATACTGATTATTATAAACAGAGCATTTACTTAAATATTTGTGTCTATATAAATAATGTATAACAATAAAATATATTAAAGTAATTGTCGAACTTAGTCCATTTCATAATATATAAGACTAGGATGGGATCTCAAGCCTTGAATGGGAACATTCCTAGAGATGGTGTCTTGGTTAAAAACACTCAATGCACTTGGACTACCATGCTTCAAATTCTTGACAAATCCTTTATCAGTCAGGACCCACCTTGCTTTATGTAAAATTAATTGCAGTCCTGCTTCAACAAAAAAAAAATAACATGGCTATGTATTTATTAAAGACATTTTTATGTTTAACGTTGTTATTTTATAGATACAAGTATTTAAGCAAATGCTCTGTTTATGATAAACAGTATTAAATAACATTTACGGCCTGAATGTCTGAGAAATTTTCATAGAAAATATTCGTTCTTTGAAAATTTCTCGGACATTCAGAAGGTAAAATGTTATTTAATACTGTTTATCATAAACAGAGCATTTGCTTAAATACTTGTATCTATAAAATAACAACGTTAAACATAAAAATGTCTTTAATAAATAAATTGTCGGACCTTGTCCATTTCTTAATATATGGCTATGTATGTATATATATATATATATATATATATAATAAGATGCATAATGTTAGTCTTTGGTGATATTATAAAATAATTTTAAATATAATGTTAATCTTTGTTGTATTTGCATAAAGAGTAAGTATATATTGTTAGAAATCTTATGATCTCTGGAAAATCATAGTGGTTGGATTTTGACCAATACAATGACTGTGGGGGTTTATTTTATTGCAATACATTTTTTTTTTTTTTTTTTTTTTTTTTTGGTCTGAAATTTCCATCCTTCTCCTTCTTCACTATTAGTTTGTGTTCCCATCCACTCATTCTACAGATTCAAAACTTGTAGCCTGAAATTCATTTAATTAAATTAAAATTTGTTAAAAATATTTTATACACATTTTCTAGTGATTTCACACCAAATCTCTCCTGAGCCATCTGATTCACACAAAATCTATCACCACCATCTGATCCATACCAAATGAGTCCTTGACAATCTTCTCCACACTAAATCCACCCCAATCTTAACTAATTCCAACTATTTTATCCACTTCAATCACCCCCCCCACACACACACTATTGGATCTCTACACATTCCTTTCCCAATCCTCTGACTCACACCAAACCCCATCTCCTACTCTCTGGCCCACATAAAGTACATTTTACATAACCCAGAGTTAGATTTGTGAAGTGTACAAACTAAAATGCAATAAGGAAAACCTTTTTTATCCATTCAATTTTATGAAGCATTAATAAAAATGTTTCTTTTTCTCTTCTCAATAGCAATTCCTTGATGACATTGCATATTGCGATGTTGAAGACTTGGAAGAAAAATTAATCAGCTATAAAAGTAAGTCGTTTTTTATCAGATTTTGTTTCAAGCTTTGATTCTTTTCTTTTTTTTTTCTTCCATTTTTGGCATCAGAAATACTTTTTTCTTTTCTGTCATTTTTAAATATTTATCTGAGAATTTAGCAGCTGATTTATCGACGTTCTATTTTTGCCCTTTTTCAACCATTAAAGAATTTCTTTTTCTTTTTTCAGGGCAATTTGTGCAATTTGATGAAGATGCCTCTGGAGATCTAAGTAAGTACAAATTATTTTATTTTGGGAAGCTTTAAAAACAACTTTTTTTTTTCTCTAAGAAGTTGCAAATAAATGATGTTTTTTTTAATGCAAACTAAACTCCAATTGTATCAATTAAGACATTCATTTATTTGAGCCAAATCTTTTAAAAAAAACAATACAAATGATATTTGTAATAATTTCCTTTGTTCATTTAGACCACGAAAATGTTTAACTGGACTGAGATGAAAAAAATTTATTTGATGAAAGATGATTCACTCCCCAGTCAGACAGTATTTGCTGTGTATTGGTTGAAAGCAATGTTTTTGAAGTATAGCAATAATAATAATGTATCATTTAGTATATACCAAATTAAAAACCTCTAAAAATACTAATCAGAAAACAATGAAGCATTTACACTGATAATATTATTTTATGCAAGACAACAAACCATTATCTTCCTGTAGTAATATTCAAAATGAAATAATTAAAACAGCTAATGTGTAAAGATTTCCATTGTATGGAAGGAGCATCAACAAATATATATATATATATATATTCTTTAATTATTTACCCATTTACAGCTGTGCAATTTTCAAAATGGACACTTGGTTCTTTTGGATGATCCTGAGCTCTATTGTACTTTTTCATGTCATCTACCCCAAAAAAGGCCCGGATGTAGCCAACAAAATCTTGTCTACTACATTGACAACAACTAGTAATAATAAATGAGATTATCATAAGTAATTCAACATATCAGAACAAACATGAACTTTGGACAGTTTATCAATGGTTTTGATTTGAAAATTGGAAATCAAAAAATCTAAGCAGACAGACCTTGGAAGAAAAATTAATCAGCTATAAAAATAAGTCGTTTGATCAGATTTTGTTTCAAGTTTTTTATTTTGCACAAATTATTTGCAAATTTGCCTTTATTAAGACACGGTCATCAGGCCACCTGACAAGTGTGTCCAGCATGAAACAACCTGTCACCTCTGAGTGTTGACTTCAATGTTCACTTTTATATTTATATTTACATATGCTCCATCTTTGATATTGAGCATTTTATCTCATAAATATACCACACCTTATATATATATATATATATATATATATATATATATATAGAGAGAGAGAGAGAGAAAAGTCTGACCATGACCAAGTCTGACTAAGAAAACTGACCTAGAGCCATGAAACATCCATGCTAATCCATATATTTATCTCAAAGTTTGACTCACATACAACATTGTTTGTCTTAACACTTCCCCACCAAATTCTAATGTTTGACCTTTGAAATACTGATTTTGGGAAGTGGGTTAGGTCATTAACTTTTTAGTACTCCCTTGTATGTGTGCTATATATATATATATATATATATATATATATATATATATATATATATATAGTATTGAGTCCTTGATACTAAAACATCAACTTAAGTGGACAGGCCACCTCGTCAGAATGGATGACAGCCACATTCCAAAGCAAATGTTTTATGGTGAGCTGCAAACAGGGAAGAGAAATGCCATCAAACCTAAGATGCACTTTAAGGACTGCATCAAGGATGAACTGAAGAAATGCATCATTCTTTGTGATCACTTTTTAGAATGTGCATCTGATCACAATAATTGGAATGAGGCTACTCAGAGTGGAAGGTGTCACTTGGAGGAGGATGAGAGGAGGAGGCACACAAGGCTTAAGAGATGTGTGTAAAGGCATCCCTATTGAACTTCCTGAAGACACCTGCAAGCAGTTTGATCTGATGTGTACAGATTGTGGTAGAGTGTGTTTGTCAGCCAAGCAGTCCTAAGTAGTCACTTGGCAGTACACCGACAGAGGGTGCCAAGTGACTATAAAGCCGTAGACGTCCAGCAACTGAAATGTGATATTTGCCGTAAGACATGCGGGAAATGTTAGAGTTATCATTCAAATGTAGTCTATAAGGAATTTACACATGCTCAATGAATACAGTTTCTAAAAAAAGCCTTCTAAAAACCTTCTTCAACCCTAATCATAGCAAACAACTAGCTTAAATCTGTTGGGTCTTTTCAGTAATGTAACACATGTGGAAAAAAATTCCCTGGAAAAAAGTCACACTTCATTTTTTATTTATTGTCTCATTGAGAAAGGACGCAGGTATATCCAAAAATTGCAATTTTTAACATATTTCTCATCATGTAAGGCCTACTAATATACCACAAATCTTATTAGTTTTATTATCAATATTTTTATTTTTGTTTTTTTATCTCTTGAATTCTTTCACTAACCTATTATATATAATCAGCAATATTATTGGTCCTGATATGGCAGCTTGGCTTCAGTCACTTTCCCACTGCTATAAGGTTACTTCTTTGTGTCTTTTCTATAAATACTTTCATGGTAAATGTTTAGATCAGCTCTTCGTTATGCTGCCTAGACATTTTTTTAATTTAAGTACAGTACTAGACTGGTATCAAGATCTCATCAATTTACATTTGAGCTGGCTAGATATAGCAGTAAATACTATGCTAAGAGTTTCTCACACTTCTTACTTCTGGAACTCTCTTCCAGCTCAACCAACTTTAATCTGCAAAAATTTAAATGCAATGTCAATTGCTATCTACTGTCCTCCTGATTACTCTTTCCTCTTCCCGGCCTATTATTAATGTTTCTGTTCCTAATTCTTCCACACCCTGTAACCCCTTATGTCATTGTGGCTTTACTGCCTTGCATGAGGTGATACCAATTAAAAAATTTTTTTAAATATATCAGAAAGAGTGAGAAGAAATATCCTAAAATAAGTGAAAAGAGTGCAAAAGAAATGTAAATGTTAATTGATAAGTAATGTCTCAAGAGAGCTTCAATAATATTTATCCATTATGGCTACTATTTTGGAATTATATATAAAGCAGTAGTCAAGGAAAGACAATTAATTTGATAAATTATTGTGGAAACTTGCAAGCATTCAACAATGTATCTATCAAATATTAGTTGAAAAGAGAACTTTTTTGGTGATGAGGAATCCAAACAATGCAAAATGACATTTTGGTGTTGAGTTAATAAAGCACAAAGTGTATTACATCTATCAGCCTGCAGCACATTTGAGAAATCTTGTTAAAAAAAAATTCTGTTCCCCAACAAGGATCAAACATTCACCCCATGCTTTGTAAGAGAAATCACTGTTTAATCTAGACTGCTTTATCATTGGGCTACGAAGAACATCATAGCAAGCAAGGCTCTGTTTTCCCCTTTTTAAGGAAATTCAGTGGCAGACTGGTCCACCGGGATACTGTGAAATTTCCCAGCAGGCCTCAAAGTGATGGTATATCACTGTAGAAATAACTGAAAAAAGTAAAAACAAGAAAGATATTGTACATGTTCCAATTTCAATTATACTTGGAAAATAATATCAAATTTTGCTTTGTAAATTACTTGACTGTTCTATGATTGAGACTTTCATTTTTATTATAAAATACAGTGATGGAAATTTGTATAAACTTGATTTGGTAACATTGCATTCTAGTTGTTCACAAAATTGAAATGTTAATGTTATTAATTTTACAATTAGTTGAAGTTGCTTTGTGCAATTTGATCAAAGGTAAACCAAGAACCAACCTTCAAGAACAGAATCAAAATCTGGACAGAATATTTCAGAAAATATGTAGCACTAAATGGTGACTTTATTTTGATACCAGTTTCATTACTTTATCTGGTCTAAAACTTGATTTATAGAATTGGAGACATTATTTATCAATAAACACTCATAATTTTGAAGAGCAATAAATTTCTTTGTTACCAGTTTCATTATTTTATCTAACCTAGAACTTGTTTTATATGATTACAGATTTTATTTATCCATCAAGTCTCATATTTACCTTCAAGTAACCTTGAAAAAATGTACTTGTAAGTAATGAAGATTTATGTAACAAACTAGGAAATTATAGTCGATTCTGTGAATATTTTGAAGCTAATTGACATCATCTTCAGATCTGTTAATCATTAAATATTAATTTTCATTAATGAATAATTTATGTGGCTAAATCTCCAAATATCAGCAAATCAATAATTCTTTTCTTGTTTGTTGATCAAAAGTTGTTTACCAACCAGAAATATGCATGGGAATAAAAGCAGAAAATAGTCTCAATTTAAATACATATTACCATAGTCGGCAGCATAAAAAACACTCTGTACTTATTAGATAAGTTTTTGATAGTTCATTGTATTATTTATATCTCAGAGTTATCCGATCACCAAGGTTTTCATGTCTTAAATGTCGAGAAAAGTGGATAAAATGGTGTTAATTATTCATTGTATAAATTCCAGGGATCATCGGAAACAGCACTTAAATTCCTTTGTTAATCCTCAAATAATTCATATTTCCAAATCAGTGGACTTATGTCTTCACAAAATTTACATTACCTACTGTTGATGCACATATATTTGTGTTCAAGACATATTTTTATTTATTTATTAGTTCAAGTATTATTATAGTGGATACTCATATTTAAAACAGAAGCCTATTTTTATTTATTAAGTGTGTATTACATCTATCAGCCTGCTGCGCATTTGAGAAATCTTGTTAAAAAAAATTCTGTTCCCCAACAGAGATTGAACATTCACCTCATGCTTTGTAAGAGAAATCACCATTTAATCTATACTGCTTTATGACTGGGCTACAAAGAACATCATAGAAAACAAGGCTCTGTTTTCCCCTTTTTAAGGAAATTCAGTGGCAGACTGGTCCACCGGGATACTGTGAAATTTTCTATTTATATTTGTTAATATATACTTAACAGCTCTGTTATGACATTCAGCACTATTTTATTAACACCAGCACTCAATGTGCAATATCTTTATATATATATATATATATATATATATATATATATTTATTTATTAAAGACATTTTTATGTTTAACGTTCTTTTTTATAGATACAAGTATTTAAGTAAATGCTCTGTTTATTATAAACAGTATTAAATAACATTTCCTGAATGTCCGAGAACCTGCATCCATATGGAAATATTATGCTGACGTCCTTAACCGTATAGGATGTAGGTTCAAATCCTGTCAATGGATGAATATTTTCTATGAAAATTTTCAGACATTCAGGCCAGTAAATGTTATTTAATACTGTTTATTATAAACAGAGCATTTACTTAAATACTTGTATCTATAAAAAAGAACGTTAAACATAAAAATGTCTTTAATAAATAAATTGTCGGACTTTGTCCATTTCTTAATATATATATATATATATATATATATATATATAATCTCATAATTTTATGCAGTGTACAGAATTTTTTTATTATGGCCATAAAAGAGGTTAGACTTACTTTACTTTTCATGATTAAAAAGAAAAGCAAAAAATAAAACAAACACAGCTGACCAGTTTCACCCTCACTCAACAGAGCTGGATCGAGAGATTATATATTGAAAGAAAATGAAGCATAAAGATGATATGTAATATTAATGAAGGCAGAATACTATTTAAATTGAAATTATGTTTAGTCCTAACAGGCTCTCCCTCTGTTTATAGAGGGATGGCTGTCTGGACTTAACATAACTTTGTTTCTTACGCCTTTATCTGCAATATAGCGCAAGCATAACTGAAGATGGTAAATGAGTCAATGCTAAAGTTAGCAGCACAATTTGGGTATTTAATAAAACGCTCCTTGATTAAGGAACCATATGTGTTGTTCAGGACGTTCTTTAGTTAGAATGTTCCATTCCTGATTTTTCGAGGTATATGCTGCTGTATTCTAGCCTCTAAACGTTTCTGCCTCTGTAGTCGACACTGCAATTACACATTTAAAATGATAAAGAACATTATTAATATGGTAGGAGAGTAGAATCAGTTGGCTTTGTTTGTTTTCTTTTTCACATTTCTTTTTAATCATGAAAGGTAAAATAAGTCTAACCTTTTTTATTGCTAAAAATATATATATATATATATATATATATATATATATATATATATGTGTGATAAAATATAGTTTTAAGGTATACTATATTTATGGGTTAAAGTGCTCAATACCAGGAAGAGAGTATATGTGAATATAAAAGGGGACATTGAGGTCAACAGTGGTGACAAATTGACTTAAAAATAAAAAAAGGGAAGACAACTCTCTAACGAAATTGCTTTTTATTTGTAACATTGTCACAAAATCAAACATTTTCTTCCTGCTATGTAAATTAGATATAGCAAAAGTGTTTCCATTTTTTTCTATTTGATTATCTTCAATTTTTTCCTTGATTCTTTTTTAGACAACTTAAATTTTTCAGGGCAGTCATATGGCACAAAATGAAACAAAAACTATTTACTTTTCAATCTGAATTAGGTGAAAAGACAATCTTGATTTGTACCAAATCAATGTTCATCACCAGTGCTTTGCCACTAATGATCTCCCAACTGACATTTGCCACTAATGATCTCCCAACTGACATTTGCCACTAATGATCTCCTAATTGGTGTTGGTCATGAATTTTATCTTAAATTTGCATATTATATGTTAGGATGAATGAAATAATAATGAAAAAAAAAACATTCTAAACTCAAGGAAAATTATGTGTTTTTGCAATTCTTCCAAAAATTAAAAGATTTTAAGTTTTTTTTTTTTTTTTTTTTTTTTTTTTTGAAGCAAATCACCCCCAGCAAGGCGAGAGTGCCACCACTAGCATGCAAGGTGTTACAGAAAGTGAGAGTAAGAGTAAAGAGGATTGTTTGGGAAAAGGATAAAGAGAAGGATAGGGGTCAAGGTGAAAGCATCAGAAGATGTCGATTGACATTACATTTGAATATTAGAAGATTATTGTTATCAAGGAAAAACCTGATAGGGAGGGAGTTCCATTGATGGGAGGTATGAGATAAGAAGTTGTTGGAGTAGACAAGATGGTTACATTTAATCATTTCAACAAAGGGTGTGATCGAGATGCCAACCTAGTAGCATGCTTAAATTCATGCAGCTTGGGAAGCAGTGAAAATGTTTGGGGGTCACATGTGTTGTAAAGAAAAATATATTTTCCAGATAGTTACATTGTGTAGATGTAGTTTTAAATATTTGAAATTTGTGATTTTGCTCTTTTCATCAGGTCTAATCACAAATTTGTAAGTGTAAGTTATATTTGTTGGTAGTTTTTCATGCCTACCATGCATGGAATAGTAGGTAGAAGTTGGTCAAAGTTTTACTTTGCTGGTTCTCATTTTGGAAAAGTGTCTAAATGATGCATAAGTTTGTTTATATATAAATATAGTTTTGTGTGTTTTTGTATCCATGAGAAAAACATCATGTAGTAGTCACCACTCTGTTTCAAGAGTATGCTGGCTGACTGTTGGAAAAACACGTGTCTCCTGACATATTTATCACACAACAAAAATGGCAGACTCTGTATACGAGCCTCGGTAATAAATGAATAAAGCAATGACAAAACTGTATATAGAAACAAATGATAGGTATGTATTAACAAAGCAAAGTTATACATAGACAAGTGAAGATTGTGTGTGACAAAACGATGAATATGAAAGAAGAATTTAAAACTAGTGAAGGTGTTTGTGTAGAAATAAGTGTAATAAGTGTGCATGCATACCCAGGTGTGGTCTGCATTTCTACACATTCAGCCTAAATCTTACTGTCCCTAGGGGAAATAATAAAAGAGAATGACAGAGAATGTTACCGCCTATTAGGCTTAGGGAGTGTCCTCTAGCGACATTTTTTTAGGAAAGTAAGTGGGGTAACTCCACAAATTTGTAAATATTATTTCTGTTATTTCATTTATTAAGTATATTATGGTGATTTTCTAAGTGTAGCTTAGATGTGGCACAAGGCCGGAAGTATGAGGCACCCAGTGAGGATCGAACTCACTACTCAGTCGTAATTGTTCTCATGGGACTAGCTTAGATTTGATGCCTCTAGTTTTAAGAATATTTTCCTCCTTCTTTCTTTCAGTTTCTTTGTATTTCTTCATCTGTTTCTTTCTTTCTCTTTATTGTTATTGGTGGTGCTGGTGTTGTCATTGTATTAGTTATTAAAAGAAACAGCCTTTGATTACCTATCACATGTGAATACCAAAATCCTTCTTGTACTAAGACCAATTCGACTTCTTATATAATCTCAAACTCCAGATTAAATTCCAGTATGAAATTTGCATAGGCAGAAATTACCTTCCTGATTGGTTAAGAAAAAAAATTTTTTCTTTTAAACTACACCTTTGACTAACTTTATTTGACAGGATTTTTCTGACCATATGACTGGAGCCTATTTTTTATGAATTTAAAAACCAAATTTAATACATGAAATTTATTCAAGCTGTTATAAATTTATTATTATAGAAATAATCACTTTACAATGATTTCAGCAAAGAAAACGTGCAAAAAATTAAAAAAAGATTATTTTTTATGAATCAGTTTTCTTTTTTGATATTGATTTTTTTATGTCACCTTAAAAAGACTATTAATGTTGATAATATTCTTAAGACTAATAAAAATTTGATTATTGGTTGAAAAATATCTCCAGATAAAATCGTATTTTTGTCTATTTTCTTAAAATAATCTCAACCACTTAAATAATTAAAATAGCCTGAAACTTTAAATTTAACTCTGAAAATACTTGCTTACATTTTGCTTCTTGGTTCTCGAACAGAGAATTTCAAAACACAAAACAAGCCATTTGAATTCCATATTGTTTCATAAATATTAAAGAGAAATATTTTTCCATACTCTTTTATTTTAAAAAGAATTTATACATTGCCTTTTTGATTGTTGAAGGAAATTTGCACCAACCATTTTAAATTTTCTTTCAAACAATGATACCTGTATTTTACTACTGGAATGGTTTTAAGCGAATAAAAAAGTGCAAAGTCTTCCACACAGAAACAAAAACAAAAAAAGTTTCAAATTAAAAAAGAAAACGAAATTGAATGTTTCATATTTTACTTTTGTTCAGATATAATGGACGTCAAACGAATGATGGAAAAACTTGGTCAAGCTAAAACTCATTTGGAATTAAAGAAAATGATAGCTGAAGTGGATAGGACTGGCACTGGAGTGATTACGTACCAAGACTTTGTGTTGATGATGCTTGGGAAGAAATCAAGTATACTTAAATTGTGAGTCTTCTTGTCACTTTACTTACATTTTTTTGTCTTGCATTTTTACAATTCTTGTATAAAATAAATGTCATTAATTGCATGTTTGTGGGAATTCTTTCAATAATTGACTAGAAAGATGCCTTTTTCAGAAAAGTTACACCCATTAATTTTATATTTTTTATACCTCTCTCTCTCTCTATCTATTTATATATATATATATATATGGTGATTGAAATGTAACTCCCTATTTTATGTATCATGGACTCTCTCATCTAAGTATAATTTTTACAAAATGGAAGAGACCATCATACATCTAATAAGGAGTTACTTTTCAATCTCCCTGTACATATATTAAGAAATATATATACTACCTTACATTGATTGCACATTGCTCTTACATCTATCTATATTTACCCATTTGGTTTATATATATATATATAATCAAATTGATTATATGTGACTCTGTTTGATAATTCATTTCAAATGTTTCAACTTAAATTATTTGTCACCTACACATTATTTAATTATTATTTTTTATTTTAGCGCTACTTGGAATATATTTTGTTAAATATTTTATAGCTATTTCTTTTAAGGTCATATTAATGTTGTCCATACCTGTGATTGGAGGAGATTTGGAAGAGGTCACAAAACATTTATTTGTACAAAATCTACAGCCTCTTCAAATTACTCCGGCTAAGATTATCTTTTAATTGCTTGAAAACTGTTTAATAATATTTTACATATGCATTTAAAATATTTTTAAGCACAGCTTTTAAAATCTTATATAAACAATTATATAAAAAAATTCTATCATTGAAAACAATAATTCTAAAAGTTTTATTTACATCCAATAATTTATGTCAGCTTTTAAATGTCAGAATATTAAAGTCTAAATTCTTAATATATATCTATGTGTCAGTGAATTAATTACATTGTAAGTATTCTGAAATTTTGTTGTATTCAGTAGCACATTAGGTTCATCATTAATTCAATGACTGGGTATGGCTATAGGATCACTGAGCAGTTGTGCCTCTGACCAAAGTCCACTTTAAATATTTATGCCGAAAGTCAGAGCGATATTCATTTATGAATAGCATGTATTGAGCAAGTAGACCTGCCGCAGCCCATCCCTCTCCAGGTCAAATGACAGGCATTGATGTTCTTGAAATTGAAGGCTCACCTTGGTCATATGGACACGTGGCTGTTGACTTCAGTCTAGGAAGCTAAGTGATGTCGTATCATAGACCTGATTAAACATTTCTCTTCATTTTGCTACAAAAAATGTGAACAGCTGTTCTTGAGTAAAAATATGGAGCTTAACATGCATCTTCAGAATGTACCCAGCGAGTAGAATAAACAGAAAGTTAGAAAATTGTATGTATGCTATAGGTGCATGACCCAGTGGCAATAACATTCGCTTTCCAATCATGAGACCCTGGTTTGAATCTCACAATGATTAATTTGTCAGGAAGGTGACTTCTTGATGTTATTGGACTCGGTAGGCAAAACAATTTTTCTCGTGTGTGTGTATATATATATATATATATATATATATATATATATATAAATAAAGTGAACATTGAAGTCAACACTCAGAGGCAACAGTCTGTTTCATGCTAGACACAATCTTCAGGCCGCCCGATGATTGCATCTAGCATGAAACAGACTGTCACCTCTTAGTGTTGAGTTCAATGTTAACTTTTATATTTACATATGCTCTATCTCTGATATTGACCACCTTATCCTATAAATATAGCACACCTTAAAACGATATTTCTTCATATATATATTTATATATATATATTGGACTCTCTAATTTGTTTCGATGTATGAGGATCTGACAGCTTAATTGATTCAGTTATGAAATTTTGTGCGATAATCTTGAGTGGCACTTAAGACCCACTAGTGATTTGCAAAGGAAGCCACATATGGAGCAAGAGTGAGGATTGTGGGATGAGATCACTGTTAGATTGGCTGACCTTTTAGATCTTGCTCTCGCTTCTAGAAGATGATTCAGACAAGCAGATTGAAAACTGCTGAGTCCACTAAAACATGTTGATCTCCATTCCATCCGCTCCAAGGCTCAGCACTCAAGGGTGTTATGTGGTATATTGACAGCTGACAAGTGTGTGTATATATATATATATATATATATTTATATATAGTCAAATTAATTATGGTTAGTGACTAATGCATTGAGTGTGTAGTTTTGTAAAAGGTTTTTTGTATGCTTATAATCTTTTATTTAATTTCTGCAAAAGTCTTTTTTTTTTTTGTGACTATCATTAAAGACTATAGTTTAAATAGTTGTGGCCATTGTTACAGGCTATTGTGTAAATAGTTGTGGCCATTATTACAGGCTAGAGTGTAAATATATATCATTAAAGACTATAGTGTACATTCTTTTTTCAGCTTTTAAGCTGTTATTAATTTTTGTATTAAGTCTAAGAGAGAATTCGATGAATTTAAATAATATATATTACATACATATATATAAAAACACAAGTTAGGCATCAAGGGTAGATCATGCTAGTCCATCATACATACATGCATATATATAATATATATATATATATATATATATATATATATATATATATATATATATATATATATATGTATGATGGACTCTTCCATTTTTTCAACACTTGAGGCTTCAATCGCATGTTCAACCATTAATACCTAACTTGTGTTTTGTATGTTTGAAGGAGTTTACTGGTAAGACATGACAGAACAGCACAGTCATGGAAGAAGTTGAGAAAAACTTTTAACTCCAACATTGGATTCACATTGGCTGCTGCTGCTGTTGATGATGCTGAAGTAACATGATGGGAATTGTTTTTAATTATTTTTGGGGTTTTTTTTATTTAGTTTCCATTCATACTAATTATTTTTTCAATTCCAGTCAGTATACCTTCTTTTATTTGTAAATTTAATTTGACATTTTTGTAAATTTGTTCCTGCTGTTGGTGTTAATTAGTTGGTGCCAAAATGGATGCATTTTTTCTGAAATGAAAGCAAAAATTTGCTTCTCCCTGCTTTTAAAAATTTGCAAAAAATCAGGGAATTATCCAATTTAATCAATTTCCAGTACTCATTCATTAATGAGTGAATTTTATACTGAATCTAATTTTGTAATCATTCATACTGGCAACAGATTAACTTGATTTATTAAGCATAAAATAATGTTATGAGTCCTATGATGTCCCCTCACACACAGTGGGGTCATATATCAACACCAGACACACACATACACACGAAAAAAACAAGCAGTCATAACATACTTTTTATGTTTAAGTGTATTTAATTTATTTTGTTTTCCTTTTTTATTTTGGAGTTGAAACAAAAAAGAGAAAAGGGGACAATTTTTTTTCCTTTTTCGGGCACAAAAATTCCACTTTTCATAGCAGTCTTTTTTCTAATTCATGCCTGGCTTAACAATTTAATGTATAATTTTGTTGTCTATAATTTCACATATTTCTTGCTTATTTTGGGATTATTATTTGATCTCACTATAATTTTAACACAACTTGGTGCACTTTTTCAGGTCAGAATCTTTCTCAATTTTATTTTTTGTATCCAAAAATGAAAAAAGAACTGATCAATTTTATTTTATGTAGACTTCATTTGACCAAAGATTTTGTAACTAACATTAAAAATTTGGTTTAACTTTTTCATTTTGATTTTATTACATCATTTTTAGCCTCAAGTAATTAACCTTCAGAGTTTACAATATTGGATAAATAATTCATCTGTTGTCTCTCCATTGCCAGGCTGGAGGGTTTTGTTGACTTATGGAGTCTGTGTTTCTAAATTTTATTTATTTTATGGAGTCTGTGTTTCTAAATTTTATTTATTTTTTGGAGTCTGTGTTTCTAAATTTTATTTATTTTTTGGAGTCTGTGTTTCTAAATTTTATTTATTTTTTGGAGTCTGTGTTTCTAAATTTTATTTATTTTTTGGAGTCTGTGTTGCTAACTTTTATTTTTTGGAGTCTGTGTTGCTAACTTTTATTTTTTGGAGTCTGTGTTGCTAACTTTTATTTTTTTTGGAGTCTGTTTAACTTTTTTTTTTTGGAGTCTGTGTTGCTAACTTTTTTTTTTTGAGTCTGTGTTGTTTTTTTTTATTTTTGGAGTCTGTGTTGCTTTTTTATTTTTTGGAGTCTGTGTTGCTAACTTTTATTTTTGGAGTCTGTGTTTAACTTTTATTTTTTTGGAGTCTGTGTTGCTAACTTTTATTTTTTGGAGTCTGTGTTTTAACTTTTATTTTTTGGAGTCTGTGTTGCTAACTTTTTTTTTTGGAGTCTGTGTTAACTTTTATTTTTTGGAGTCTAAAGTTAACTTTTATTTTTTGGAGTCTGTGTTGCTTAACTTTTATTTTTGGAGTCTGTGCTAACTTTTTATTTTTTGGAGTCTGTGTTGCTAACTTTTATTTTTTGGAGTCTGTGTTGCTAACTTTTTATTTTTTTGGAGTCTGTGTTGTTAACTTTTATTTTTTGAGTCTGTGTTGCTAACTTTTTTTTTTTGAGTCTGTGTTGCTAACTTTTATTTTTTGGAGTCTTGTTTAACTTTTTTTTTTTTTTGGAGTCTGTGTTAACTTTTATTTTTTGGAGTCTGTGTTGCTAACTTTTATTTTTTGGAGTCTGTGTTGCTAACTTTTATTTTTTGGAGTCTGTGTTGCTAACTTTTATTTTTTGGAGTCTGTGTTGCTAACTTTTATTTTTTGGAGTCTGTGTTGCTAACTTTTATTTTTTGGAGTCTGTGTTGCTAACTTTTATTTTTTGGAGTCTGTTTCTAAATTTTATTTATTTTTTGGAATCTGTGTTGCTAAAAAAATGCATTTTTCAGGCATTTTTTTCATTTACTCTTGTCATGTAAATTCACTAAAATAGATTGAGAGCATCTCTTTGAAACAAACATTCAATTAATTTTAGATTTTAGACAAGACTAGGGACACTCAACATTTTGAGTATGTATCTCCCTATTTATTGGGGAAGGTGGGGGACAAAGTTTTGTCTT